GGTAGGGAGGTGGGGAAGGAAGGAGAAAGGGAAGTCCTGGGCCTGCTTGCTGGGTCCTGGTTCCTAAGGCTTTTAGGGGTGGAGATTTTAGGGGAGGTCCTAGGGGGAGAGCTCATTATAATATTCAGCAGCTTTCCAGGTGTGTCCTTTCAGAGTCTGGGTCTCCACTGATGGATTGGTTGGCGCCGGGGCGGGGGTCATTATCAGTGCAGCTGGTCCTGAGTCAGCTGTGGCTGGTTTTGTTGCTTTTCTGGGCCTGGAGCTGAAATATAACTAAGGCCTAGAAGTTATCTCTAGGGAGGAAAGGTCAGGGGGTTCAAGCCACTTAACTAGCGACGTGCTAGGGGAGGAGAGGTAACCCTGAGGGCAAGGTCCCACCCTACAATTGTTGGTTGCTAGACATCCCCAGGGGCTTTCCACCCTGGTAATCTTCAGTACCTGGCCCATCGTCCTTGCTCTGCTCATGTCTAACTGCCTACCACAGTAGGTGCTACTATTTCTATTTTATAGCAAGTAAAACCGAGGCCCAAAGAGGGGTAGGATTTGCTCAAGTTCCTTCAGCTGGTGTGCAGTGGGGCCTGGGAGGGAACTCAGCTTGACTCCAAACCTACGGTTTATACTGCTACATAAAACCCCCTCCTCATTTCCCCCCAGTTTTATTGAGATATAATTGACATATAAAATTGTATTAGTTTAAGGTGTACAACCTGATAATTTCATATTTGTTTATACTGCAAAATGATCATCACAATCTGTGTAGTTAACTATCACATAGTTACCATTTTTTTTCTTGTGATGAGAACTTTTAAGATATAGCCTCTTAGCAACTTCGAAATATACACTACAGTATTGTTAACAGTATAGTGACCACGCTGTACATTACATCCCAGGAGTTATTTATCTTGTAACTGGGAATTTTTACCTTTTGACCACCATTTCTCCCACTCCCCATTTTCTATAGTCCACATTTTGCCAACAGGAATCTGAAGACCACTGAAGGTTTGGAGATAACAGATAAAGAGTTCAGAAAGTAGGCAGAAAAAGCTTGAAGGGGAGCTACTACATTGGCCCAACCTCCAACCTGTCTCCTGGCAGCTGGAGGACATGCAACAGGTTCTTTTCTCCTCAGGTAGCCCCAAAGCCTCTAAGACTCAAACTGGAGAAAGAGGCTTCCTAAAAGGGGCTTTAACTTTCAGCCTCTACAATAGATACAGCTCTGCCCGACTGGAGTGCCATGGGCCTTTTCCAGGGCAGTTCAGCTTCTGCAAAGCCAATCCTTCCTATTCCAAGATGAAACGTTCCTCCCCAGGAGGCTGTTACACCCTACACCTGAGAAAGAGGAACTGCTTACTCCTACAAAACGGCAGCTTTCCCAGATCTCAAAAATGCAGGTGGGGTCCCAGCTCAGCCAGAGTACCCCAAGAGTCCACCAAATGGGGCCTTGGAATGTTATACCCCACTGTTTCACTCATGATATATCACAAACATATTTTCCCAGCAAAGATTCTTTAACATCCCAATTTTTAATGATTATACTGTATTCCACCATTTGGATATAGCAATATTTACCAAAGCGAATCCATTTGGCTTCTATTCAATACTGACTATTCTATTTTAAAGCTGTAATAAGCAACCATGTACATAGCCAAAACACAGTACACTCCTTATTTCCTTAGAGAAATTGCTAAAAGTGAAATTACTGACTAGACAGAACACACAGTTTTAAGGCTTTTGACAGAAACTCTCAAACTTCCCCCTACAGAAATGTTCAAGATATTCTCCCTTCTAACCTTGGTGAGAATAAATGACATGACTCTCAATAAATTACTGGCCGCTGCTGAGAATCTGTGTATAAACAAAAAGGCTCCACCAGTAGATGGCACTCTCTGCTAAGATTTTTAGAGTTTTGGATTTCAAGTCAGGCTCTCAGGGCTTGATTCAGTTTGCATCAGGAAAGTCAGAGACATACATATCAAAGCAAATTTGCAGGAGGAAATCTAGGATGTTATATGAAAACCAATCAACAATGGTGGCGAAACAGTGGGATCTTGGGATCCTGTGAGATCTTAAAAACGCTCCTGGAATGTGGTCACTCTTCCAACTTAAGATCTCCTGCAGCTTTCCAAGAACCTCACAGGGCAGCCACCAACATTCCAAGTGCACATGCATTCCCTCCACTTCCCTTGTTAATTCTCACTCCAGGAAAGCAGGATTGGGGCATCCTGGTTCCTTCTGACCAGCTTTCTGGGTCCTAGTAGTACTATTAGCTTAGAGTGGCTGTAATTTTACACTTCCATGTGTGATTGCTGATTGCTTCTCTCTGTTGCCAGAGGTGGCATTCACTGGAGCCCGGTGCAATGGCACCACAGGGGATACACCCTGAAGGTGTCGGCAGTGTGAATCCAGGCGGAGGTCCTTGGGGCCTGGCCTTAGAGCTTTGCCAAATGATGCCCTTCCTTGTGAAACCAAAATCCATCCTGAGACTTTCAAGTCTTAGCTGCTATAAATGACAAAAACTTAACAGTCTGGAGGTGAATAAACCACAGGAAGAAGGGTGGTAGAACGACTAAAAGTACACGTAGGTTCAGGGGTCATTAGAAGATAGGGTTCAAGCTCACTTACTGGTCAAAATTACATCACTCCACTAAGCCTCAATTTCCTCACCTATAAAATGGCTCTAACAACAGCACGTCTCTAGTAAGTAAGAATTTGCCGTGCAAGGGCTCAGCACAGTGCGTGGCACCCAGTAAAGGGCTCTGTAAGTTTGCTTGGCCATTGCATTCTAGCCTCCTGTTAAGCAGCACCCTCTGAAAGGACAGTGGGAAGGACAGGGGTGAAGAGATTATGTTTTTATTACCCTAAACCATCAATTTAGATAACATCTTGCAAGTTAATATTTGTGTTGTGTGACCTCCGGGCAGCTGATATTGCAATCAGCTCTAACATCAGATGAATGGCTGGCATGCTGGGGGTTGGGGGGTGTTCTATTGGAGGGTAGAAGGTCCAGAATGACATGCTTTGGCTTATGTCAGTTTAATCAACAAGTATTTGGGATTCTTTCTTGCTTCCAGGCCTGGAGGGACTGGTTATCCAGCACTCCTTGTCTGACTTCTGGCCAGGCTCTGACTACCTGGCAGCCCTTCTTACCTAAACGCACCTCCTGCGTTCAAGAGTAACAGGATAGCCCTGCCAGGCATAGCTCAGTGGTTGAGCGTTGACCTAGGATCCAAGTGATCAGGGTTTGATTCCTGGTCAGGGCACATGCCCAGGTTATGGGCTAGGCAGGCAATCAATGACTATCTCATCATTGATGTTTCTCTCTCTCCCCCTCCTTTCCTTTCTCTGAAATCGATAAAGATATATTAAAAAAAAAAAAAAAAAAA